GAGTTTCCCGGGCCTCCCTCCAGCGCTTGCGGAGGAAGGGGTTTTTTTTTTGGCCCCGCCCCCGCCACGTCACACTCCCCCCGCCCCCCGCGTCCCGATATTTGTCTTGGGTGATCTGGTCACCCTATCCCACAGGCAGTGGTGATTTTAGCTGATATCTCACTCTTGAGAGTAGCAAAGCCACAGAGAGCTCAGCTGCTGCTGGTTTCAGAAATTGAGATGGATGGGCCTATTGGTTTGTGTGGTGGAAGTCCGGTGAGGAACTAAAGCCAGCGGTCAGAGCCAGAATCAGGAGTCAAGAGCCGGGTTGGAGCAGGCTAAGGTCTGTGGAGTCTGTCACCACTCTCAGGCAGAGGAGAGTTCCAAGCCATGAAGTGACGCTGGGCAGACCGAGCTGCTGTTTCTCCTGTGAGGGTTATATACCTGCTCTGAGAGCCATCAGACCAGCTCCTGGCTTGTGGATTGGCTGGAGCCTAGCTCAGGAGTGACTCAACACTGCATGTGGCTTAATCAGGCTCTAGTTCATCACCTCACATTACCCCCCACTCACCGGGGCGTACACTTCCCAGTCCACAAGTCATCATCAGAGGAGCTTAGAATCCAGCATCTGTCTCACCAGGTATCTTCCTGCCCCCGAACCATGATGAGGGGTGGGGGTGGTTGTGTGCATCCAGGAAAAGAGTTGGCCACCTATTTCTTTAACAAGGAAACATGGAATGCTGGATGTATCTTCATGGCACAGGGCAAGTGGAGCTTGAAGGCCACCAGGTTGATCTGTTGGATGATCAAAGTAGGCCAAGGTAATGGTGGTCTAGTTTCCTTGAGGAGGTATCCAAGTGTTGAATCAAGAGCCTTAACTTGTTTCCGACCGACAAAGGAGGAGGGTCCTGTTGATGGAGGTCAATGTATCATTTGTAGTCGTCCTTGGCTGAGTTTAAGTGTGATTTTAATTCCTCTTGAAAGTGGTGAAAGTGTTGAACCAAATCAGAGGCCATGAGGACACGGGAGATTGGCGGGACGGATGGATGGAATCGAGGGTGGAAGCCACAATTGGCATAGAAGGGGTTTTGGCAGGTTGATCTGTGATTGGAGTTACTGTAAGCAAATTCAATAAAAGGTAAAAGTTGGAAACAAACATCTTGATGGTAATTGCTAAAGCAACAGAGTTATTGTTCTGGAATTTGATTTACCCATTCCAATTGTCCATCCGTCTGGTGGTGGTAAGCAAAGGAAATGTGCAGAGTCACTTCAGGACTTCGGCCAATTTTCCCCAAAAAGGGGAGACAAATTGTGGCCCACATTCTAATGTCATGTTGGTTGGTAATCCATGGAGCGTGAAGGTGTTGTTGAAAGATAAATGAGCAGTTACTTTTGCAATGGGGATCGTCTGACAAGGTGCAATGTGTGTCCTTTTGTTGAGGAAGTTGATGACGACCAGTATAGCTGTGGAGCCCTATAAGTTGGGGAGATCTGTGATGAAGTTCATTAAGATAGATGCCCAGGGTTGGGGTGAGGCCAAAAGTGGGATCAGGGCACCTAGAAGTTTGGCACGTGGTCTTCATCTGGCTGAATGTCTCATAGGACGTCATGTAAGATCTGACAGATGAGAACAGTTTGCCACCAAAAATTGCGAGAAATCAGCTTCACCATCTTCCTGTACCTGAAGTAGCCTGCAAGTGGGGAATCGTGGCATAGCAAGAGTATGGCTGGATGGGTGGTCCATCAGGAACATAAATGCAATCCTTGAACCAGAGTACGTTGTTTTTCACTGTGATGTTTGGGTCAGAACTGGCTGACATCCATCCACTGCAAGTGGATCGTTGGGCAGCGAGGCCTTTACAGTGGCCAAAAGATCAGTGCTGGTCAGCATATTTACAAAATGGCAGGGCTACAATATTGTGGTAGGCTTGGGAGGTTTAACCCCCTTATAGATGTACCCTCCCTTGTGAGATAACACCTCGTGTTTATCATTCCAGGTTCTCAGCTGGTAGGTCAGGGTGAAGTTGAATCTACAGAAGAAGAGGAATCAACATAGCCGACCTTGGTTGAGGGCTGCAGAGAGAGATGTTCCAAATTTTTATGATCTGTGAACACCTGGACTGAAAGACGTGCCCCTTCTAGATGATGGTGCCACTCCTGAACTGCAGCCTTGATGGCCAATGACTCCTTACTACAGATTTTATAATTTTGTTCCTCAGGTGTCAATTTCATAGAAGAGAAGATACAATGGCTAAGGTCATTCAAGGGCCCGTGTTGCTGTGATAGCACTGCCTCAATCATGTGATCAGAGGCATCTGCTTTGATGACAAAGGGTTCTGATGGATCCAGGTGTATTAGGATGGGGGTAGAATTACACACTTCCTTCAGACGATCAAAGACCAGTTGGGCTTCTGGTGTCCAGGGGAGAGTTCTTCCACAGCAGCTGGCTAATTGGAAACACCACTTGTGAGAATCCTTGAATGAATCATCTACAAGTCTGTCGCATCTTAGGCGCATTTAACATGTGCGATTTCAGCTTTATACGGTTAGCAAAAAACAAAAAAAGAGAAAAATAACAATTTAAACACTGTTTCTGTAGTGCGGGCGATTCCGCCCGCCATTACACTCAATGTAATTTTGACTATACGTGATTTTCGCTTTAGGCGCTGACTGCGGAACATAACCCCAGCATAAGATGAGTCAGACCTGTATAGAAATTGGCAAATCCTAGGAAGCACTGGATATCATGGATGCTCTTGGATGTAGCCCAAGTTGAAATCACAGAGTTTTCTGTGATCCATACTTATTCCGTTGGGAAAAACAATATAACCCAAGAATTCCACAGAGGTGCCACTGAAGTCACATTTCTCAGATTTCCCGTACAGACTGTTTGCTTGAAGATGTTCGAATACTAACCAGGCATGCTGGTCATGCAGGGTTTGGTCCTCTGAAAAAATAAGAATGTTGTCTGGGTAGATTACAACAAACTTATGCAGAACAACCCTGAAGATATCATTAACAAAGTGCTGGAATGTGGCAGGGGCATTACAGAGACAAAAAGGCATGACAAGGTACTCAAAATGTCCATACCACATATGAAAGGCTGTTTTCCATTCATTGCCCTCTTGGATGCAGACCAGGTTGTAGGTGCTGCGTAGCCAAGCCAACCATCTCCTGTAGTTCACTGATCAACAGCAAAGGATATTTATTCTTGACGGTGATATTTTTCAGCACTGGATAGTCTACACAAAGGCACAGGGTACCATCCTTTTGCTTGACAACTGGGGCTAGGGCCTTGGCAGCGGACACAGAAGGACAGATAAAATTATTTGCTAGATTTTCATTGAGGTATTCCTACAGGGCCCTGAGTTCAGGTTCTGACAAAGCATAAATTTGCCTGAAGGGGATTTTGGCCCCTGGCAGGAATTCTATGGGGTAGTCGTGAGGCCTATGTGGGGCTTGGACATTAATGTTTCTTTTATTGATTATGTCCACAAAGTTCTAGTATTTCACAGGAATTGGAGAGTTATCCTCATTCAGAGCCCGCTGTGAGCAGAAAATGGTGGCCTTGCCCAGATTGTGTCTAGTATCTTCAACACCAGGTTGGACTAGACACTGATGCTGACAAAAATCAGACCCGAACTGCACTTCTCGTGCTCTGCAGGAAATGTCTGGATTGTGGAGGGAGAGCCAGGGGATGCCAAGCATGATCGAGAAGTGGGGTGAGTCAATCAGGTTAAATTGCAGGGTTTCCTGGTGGACTTGAATCACAGCCCAAAAGGGGTGCAGTCTCCTAGACGACCAGGCCCAAGGACAGCAAGCTGCCATGAATTGCCTCCACCACGGGGGAGCTTTCTTTGCACTGACACTGGTTTATTTTAGTAAAGCCAGTGTCCATGAAATTACTAGACATTCCTGAGTGCAGCTTGCTTCGGGTGTAGCCAGGGCCCAAAGCCGGTACTCGATCTGGAGGTGGGATTGGGCATTGTCCGAGGTGGTTAGGGTACACGTAGGAAGCAGAGGGGGTCTGCTCAGGGAATCAGATGTTGCCATTCTGTCCAGCCACATCCCCTCTAGTGAGGGTGATCCCTCCCATCTTCCTGGACTAGCCATAGAACAGGACTTGAGGAGACACCTGGTGGCAAAGTAGCCTCATTCCCCACAGTACAGGCAGAGGCCATTCAAACAACAATATTTCTTCTCTTGATCTGAGTCGCCTACACGTCATGTCGACCTGCGTGGGTTTGGATCCAGCAATTGCCTGGGAGGGTGAGTGGTGGGAATAGGGCTGGTTAGGCAGGGACAGGCGTATGCCTTCCTTTTTTCCTGACTCACTCAAACAGTTGATTGTCAATCTGGATACACAACTCAATTTAGGGGTGCAAATGCACTGGGGGGGGGGTCAAGTTCATCTTTAATCTCATCACTGAGGCCTAGGTAGTATTGGTAAATCTGCACCACTTCGTTCCCAGACGTGTCAGTGACCAGGTGTCAGAAATGGGTGGCATAGAGTTGATCAAAGTTGTGGAGAATTGAATCTCCCCACTCCAGGAGTGTGATGCCCAGTCTAATGCTTTGTCTGTCAATAAGCTGATGACCCCTACCTTGGTTTGGTCGTTCAGGTACATTTAGCACAACAGGAGCAGCAGGCGACGTTGTTGAGAAGCCCCTGAAACATCTGACGGTTCCCATCAAACCGCTCTGATAGCAGGATCTTTGGGCATACATCCTGGGCTGGCTCAGCTAATGATGTGGGGGTCCAGGACCACTGGGACCTGCAAGTGCAGGAAGATATTTTCCCATTGTAGCTGGACCACTTGGTTCTGGAGACCTTGAACTAGCTCCGCAATCTCTGGACACTCCTGCCACTGAGATGTCATTTTGACTGCAAGGAGCTTCTGTGGGCATAGGAGAGGCCAGGCACCATCTTTAAATTTAAACACTATAAGGAAAAATGCATGCATACACTTACCCGAGGTCCCTTCCCCTGGATTGGGCTTGTGCGTGCTCAGTTGGTGGGATTGGCTAGACTGTGGTGGAGTCTCTAACAGGTCCTGACTCATGGCATGGCTGGAGCCCTCCAGCTACATCCACCCCTCATCTTCCTCCTTCCCACTGTTCCTAGCAGGAGTCGCTGTCTCAGGCTCCTCCAAGGCACCCACAGTGGTCTGGAGGGTGCTGGTGGGGTCTCCATGAGGTATGTCATGGAGCTTGTTGGAAAAGCAGCAGGACTGCGCCTCAGCAGCAGATCAATTGTGCTTCCTGGCCTTGTGTATGCTTGCTGCAGTTGATTTTCACGTGGCACTGCTGCTGATCCTTGTCGTACCCCTTTGCCTCCAGCCCCTGTTCGATCTTTCCAGAGATGTCCACATTTCTACAGCTGATCCATAGCTGTGCCTGTACAACCTCTTCTCCCCATGGGCCCAGGAGATCCAATCCCTCCTGTCTACTCCAGGCAGGGCATGTCCAGTGCATGGAGCCAGCATGGTCAGTAGGGCAGTTGCACACAACAAGGGAGAGCTGCTAGGTGTGCTTGCCAAACTGGGCAATCAGGAAAAGGCATTTCACAAATACAAGGGTGGGGGGCTTAAGGGGGCGCCTGGCTTTTGCTCTCTGTGACCCCTGAGCAGTGGAATTCATAATCGTGACCACAGCGGTCACTGTTGCAGGGAGTAGCCATTGTAGGACAGCTGCTGGAGGACTGCTAAGATCAGCACAGGTCACGCATTGACCTCATTAGGTCAGCCATGGCTCCACAGCATTCCGAGAGGTGGTTTCACTGGGTCGCTGTGGCGGGCTGCCTACCTCAGCTAGAGACAAATTTCACTATAGACATATTCACAAATAGACTGACACAAGGCAGCTTACATCAGCCTCACTTTGTAGTGTAGACCGGGCCTCAGGGTGGGGCTGGCCATACCCTATCACAGGGCTGCAGCGTTTTTGTATTGTAGCAGAGCAGTAGCTATGCTATAGATAAGACCAACTTTCTGTTTTAAGCTTGACTGTTCTAAGTGCTCAAAAATCTGTACAGTTACTTGGGTTGTCTTTAAATTTGGCGTGTCTTATGGGGGTTCAGGGCCAGGTCAGTGATCCAAATTGGGGGCCATTCGGCCAATGGGTTCCTGAGATACAGCCCTTCCCCAAACAGTGTTTCTGAAAGTTAATCCATTCTGGCCACATTTTTTTGCACACTAGGGTGATCAGATGTCCCGATTTTATACAGCGTCCCGATTTTTGGGTCTTTCTTATATAGGCTCCTATTACCACCCACCCCCTGTCCGGATTTGTCACGTTTGCTGTCTGGTCACCCTATTGCACACAGATAGAGATCAAACCAGGGCTCATGCTCTCCAACACTCGAGGATTACCCAACAGAGTGCATGGCGGCCACCAGCCCTTTGGGGAAAGTCAAATTACAACATTGTTTGAAAAAGAGTTTGCTTCTCCAGTTAGGCATGCTCCAAGCATTTCCAAGGTGCAGGGAGGTGCCCCCCGGATTCCACTAAGCATGTGCAGACAGAGGAATTGACAGGGTTTTTAGCTGGATAGCTCAATCAGATAAGCAGCGATCCTTTGAACCTGACTCACTGTGACACAGATATGCCAAGGCATGTCCTGGCAGATATAAAATGTTTATTAAAGCTAATGTTAAAAGATTATATAGTACACCAGTTAAGAAAAGAGTGTCTGTACATCTGGGTATAGTGCTTAGATTATCCACAAATATGAAGTTTGTTTTTAAAGTCATAAGATACATATAGTGCATAATCAGCACTAACCCAAATTTAGGTGAATAAATTTAACAATACAGTTTAGATATTAGTATCCAAGTATTTGGGAACATTACTCATAGAAACTTACACAGAGTTGGTTGTGGAAAGCGCATATAGCAATGAGTGAAGATTGTCCCTCAGTAATTGAGAATTTAGAGTAGGTTGTCCATTAGAAAATACAATCCATCTGGGAAGTATTTCAGTTACTTTCCCTACTGTGCTTTGCATCTGCACTCCAGCTCATCCCTACTGGTATTGCCAATGTCTGGTGTTGTGATCTACATAGATGTCTCTCAACCACCTGATGGCATCCGACACCATGTGTTGCCGCATCAGCTGAGTGTAGCATTGACTGATTCCACATTCTCTCAACACTCGCTTGTTACTGAGGTCCCATGCACCCAGGGCTCAGATGATCAGCACGTGAGTTTGAACCTCGTAGCCCCTAGCTCTCAAAGTGTCAGCCAGAGGGGCATATTTCTCCAGCTTTAGAGATCGGGCATCGTGGAAGGCTGGGGTCCTCTTTTCAAAGGGAACTGTGATGTCCACCATGATGATCTGTATGATCTACATCTGCATCCAATCATCTTCTTGATAGTTGACTGAAGGGGTCATATGTGGTCTCTGCCAAAAGCCAGTAACTAGCTGGTTGTCAAGGTTATCACGGGATGTTTGTATGGGAAACATTTTTAGAGTTATGTAACTTGTAGAATATTAGTACTTGTGGCACCTTAGAGACTAACAAATTTATTAGAGCATAAGCTTTCGTGGGTAAGAACCTCACTTCTTCAGATGGCATCTGAAGAAGTGAGGAAGAAGTGAGGTTCTTATCCACGAAAGCTTATGCTCCCAATACTTCTGTTAGTCTCAAAGGTGCCACAGGACCCTCTGGTGCTTTCGTGGATGCATCCGAAGAAGTGGGCTGTAGTCCATGAAAACTTATGCTCTAATAAATTTGTTAGTCTCTAAGGTGCCACAAGTACTCCTGTTCTTTTTGCGGATACAGACTAACACAGCTGCTACTCTGAAACTTGTAGAATATTGGTTTCCAAAACTCGGGGAGGTGAAACATGTCTTCTGAGGTGGGGTGGGTCTCCCAGCTGACTCAGTCAACACTGAGACTAATTGACATTCTTGGACTCAGCGCAGCCCTTTTTTATAGTCTGGGGCTGATGCAGACATGTGTATTGACAGAGGCCTGGGACTGTAGAGAAAGAAATAACACAAATTGTTATCCATTCGGAGGCCACATTCTGCCAGTGGGAGTGTCTCCCTGGACTGGACAAGCGCTGTAAAGTCTGACCATTGGGTAAGAAATACCTTGTTAGACAGGAAAGTCACTTATTAATAAGACTAGGCTAGAGATTGTGCTTTTATATGTTTCTTTTACCTTATGTTTCCAAATCCTTTTACTCACTTTTATTTGAATCTTTAACTCAAGCTGTGTGCAATGGTGGGGCGGTTGTCCCTCCCATATGGGTCAGAGGGAGGACACACCTTCTCACTTCATCATCCACCTAGTATTAAGGCAATTAGTGTAGTGTTAGCATCCCTACTGGTTTGACAGGCTGTGCAGTCCAACCTTATACCAGACACCTCCGTGTTCTTGGGGAACCAAGGTGCAGTATCCAGCCTGACTCATGAAAGATACCACCCTACCCCCAGCCTCTGCTTAAACTAGGGTTACCATTCGTCCGGATTTACCCGGACATGTCCTCCTTTTTGTGCTAAAAATAGCGTCCGGGGGGAATTTGTAAAGCACTCACAATGTCCGGGATTTCCCCCCTCCCCCGGCACAGCAGAGCGAGCGGCTGGGAGGGCTGCAGGAAAGTCCCGGGCTGGACTCCGGAGCAGCTGGAGAGGAGCCGGATCCGCCCTGCATTCTGAGCAACTGTCTCAGCACAAAGTGCAGCCCTCCCCTTTTGCAACTGGGAGCGGTTTCTGCCATGCAGCGTAGCAAAACGGGAGCAAGAGCACTTTGTGCTGATACAAGGGCAGCTCTCCCCTGCAACCCACTCCGGACCAGGGACCGGGTTTTGTTGTGCAGGGCCAGGGACCGGGTTTTGTTGTGCTGGGGAGCTTAGCCACGTGTCCGGCTCGCACAGAGCCCAACACCCTGTTCTGGGCAGCAGGGTAGGGGGGGGCGGGAGAGGGGGCAGGGAGGTTCTGGAGGGGGCAGTCAAGAAACGGGGGGGGGCTTTTTGGGGGGAGTGGAGAAAGTTTTGGGCAGTCAGGGTACAGGTAGGGGGTAGGGTCCTGGGGGGGAGTTGGGGGGGGGGGCAGTCAAGAAGCGGGGGGGGCTTTTTGGAGGGAGTGGAGAAAGTTTTGGGCAGTCAGGGTACAGGTAGGGGGTAGGGTCCTGGGGGGGAGTTGGGGGGGGGGGCAGTCAAGAAGCGGGGGGGGCTTTTTGGAGGGAG